GGTTTCTACCTACCGACACGGCGGTCGGTGCGTAAGCTGCCTCTGGCAGCAACTTTTTCGGGTGTGTATGCGGGTTGGCGCGACGTAAAGGTGGTCGTCTCCGCTTGCGACCGCCACCACCGGACTTCCGCGATTTCTCAACGGAGGGGAGCAGACGTCTCGCCATACAGGCGGGCTGCGTAGTAGAATGCCCGTAGAGCAAACGCAGCTTCTCATTGTCGGCTGGCATATGAAACCGTCTCCACCGGATTTCGATTCTCTGCTCAAGAGTTGGTCCTACGTGCCGGGTGAGGTCTCTGCCCGCCGCGGTCATGGAGCCGACGGGCGGCTTGTGCTCCAACTGCGGATCGACCTGGGCGTCTTGCAGATGGAAGCCGACGGACGGCCCGACGGTGTCAGGCCATTGGGTCATGACACCTACCTCGACGCCCTTCGCGCGGAGGAAGCCATCGCCGGCGAGGATTTCGAACTCGACGACGATCAATGCGTTGAGATCGATCGTGAATTCGTCCAGTACTACCACCGCCGCGTGGCGTGGCTGGCGCTACGGGAGTTCGACCATGTCGTGTCCGACGCCGACCACACACTGGCCCTAATGGATTTCAGTTCGGCCCACGCTCCAAACGACGACTGGGTCGAGGAGCACGAGCAGTACCGCCCATTCGTGCTGTTCCACCGCACGCAAGCAGCCGCGCTGGCGGAATTGCAGCGGACCGATCCCGAGGCGGCGGTATTGGTGATCGACGAAGGCTTCAGGCAGCTGCGAGAATCGCTGGCGGACCTAGCAGCGATCGTCGGCGAGGACCTCGAAGACGACGAGGCCTACGACTTCAGCACCAAGCTGGAAGAGCTGCGGCGTTCGATCTTGGTCGAGTACGACCTTGAGGCGCCACTCGATGAGCAGCTCGCCAACGCGATCGCCCACGAAGAGTACGAACTCGCCGCCGAGATCCGCGACCGGATGGCTCGCCGCACGCGCAGCCGGCAGAGTTGAGGGCTGCCCCGTTGGACGCCGCTAGGCCGCTAGCGGCTGGAGAGTGATTCCTTGGGTGGGAGCGGGTTTGTAATTTTTGGCGCCCGGCTGCTAGCGGTGATTTCTTGAGCCGTTCTTGCAAGTGGCGTGGCGCGTAGCACTTAGCGCTCCGCCGAGCTCGGTTGCGCGAACTCTGGCACGGCCCGTGCGTAATACGGCTGGCGAGGCGAACGGACGACCCGATTCGCCTCCCACCGCGGCGGCGACCGGCAAATGGCCGGACACGTGTCGCGGGGGCGAGGGGACTCTCGCCTAGCTCATCACCATCAATTAAGGGAGTGACAGATGTTGGTTCTCACACGGAAGCCTCAGGAAAAGATCCGGATCGGCGATGGCATCACGATCACGGTCATCAAGACCAAGGGCTCGGGCGTCCGCCTCGGCATTGAGGCGCCCGCCGACGTGCCGGTGCTGCGTGGCGAGTTGCTCGCCGCCCGTGATAGCTTTGTTGGAACGGAAACCGACGAGGCCTCCGTTCCCCCAGCGGCTGCCAATCAAGCGGCTACGAATCAAGCGAAGAGTGATAGCGAGGTGCAGTTCACCCGCGTCAAGCGTTCACGAGTCCCGTCGGTCCTGCCGAACTTGCTCGGCGAACCCGGCCCGCTGCGGGCGATGATGGCCGGTCGTGCGACGACCGGCGCTTAGCCACCCTTTAAGGACTGAACCTTATGCGGCAAGGATTGACGCGTACAAGGATCAGCCGGCGGCAACCGAAGGCCGGCTCAAGGATCGAGGTGCGATCCCCCGTGGAACGGCTGGTGAGAGGCGGCCAGTTATTCGCCTCTCACCAGCACCACGGCGTCGCGCGGCGGGATCGTGCAGCTCAACTCGTCGCCGCTTAGCTCGTGCCCTTCGTGCGACTCCAGCGGCCACACCTGCTTGAACGGGCCCTCCAAGTGCCGGGGCTTCAGGTTCACGGGGACACGCTCGTGCGACGTGTTGAACGCGACCACCGCCTGACTGCCATTGAGGTTACGGCTGAACGCGTAGACCGGTCCCTCGGCGTGGAGCGTCGTCAACTCGCCGACACGCAGACATTCGTGCGTCCGGCGTAACGCCACCGCGCGGCGATAGAACCGCAGCAGGTCGTAATCCCATAGCGACTCGTCGTGCCACGGAAACGCCTGCCGGCAATCGGGGTCGGGGCCGCCGGTCATGCCAACCTCGTCTCCGTAGTAAATGCACGGCGCGCCGGGCATTGTCATCTGGAACAGGACGCACAGCCTGAGGGCAGAGTCGTCTTGCGTGATCCACTTCGCCCGCGCCATGTCGTGGCTGTCGAGCATGTTCATCTGGGCGAAGTTGATCTCCCAGTCGTAGTAGCCGTACATCCGGTCGATCAGCGACGCGAACCTGTCGGCTTCGATCGGCTCGAAGGGAAGGTGCGGGTGGATGTAGTCATTGCGGTATGTCTCGGCGGCGAAGAAACTGATCGCCGGGCCGGTGAAGAGATAGTTCATCACCGCGTCGAACTGATCCCCCTGGAGCCAGCGGCGCGCCTCGCTCCAGATTTCGCCGCAGATATAGGCGTCGGGGTTCTCCGACTTCACGACCTGGCGGAAGGTGCGCCAGAAGTCGTCGTCGTCGATCTCGTGCGGCACGTCGAGACGCCAGCCGTCGATGCCAAACTTGACCCAGTGCCGCGCGACCTCGTAGAGGTACTCACGGACGGCGGGATTATTGGTGTTGAGCTTCGGCAGCGCGGGCAAGTTCCACCAGCAGGAGTAGTTCGGCGGAACGTCCTTTTCGGTGGGATAGGGCTGGAGCGGCCACTCGTGGACCGTAAACCAGTCGATGTACGGCGAGTTGCCGCCGTTCTCGAGGATGTGGTGGAAGGGCCAGAAGCCGCGGCCGGTGTGGTTGAACACGCCGTCGAGCACGATGCGCATGTCGCGCTCGTGGGCCTTGTCGATCAGTTCACGCAGCGCGTCGTCGCCGCCCAGCAGCGGATCGACCTCAAGGTAGTCGTAGGTGTGATAGCGGTGCGTCGAGGCCGACGTAAAGATCGGCGTCAGGTAGATCGCGTTGACGCCCAGCTCTTCTAGGTACCCAAGCTTATCGACGACGCCCAGCAGGTCGCCCCCCTGAAAGCCGTCGTGGATCGACTCGCTCCCCCACGGCTTGAACTTGAGCCCCGGCAGGTGCTTGATGCGCGAGCTCCGCGCGAAGCGATCGGGAAAGACCTGGTAGAAGACCGCGTGCTTTACCCAGTCAGGGGTCTGGATCGGCGTTTCACCGGGCGGCGAGGCGAGAGGCTTGGGTTGATCGGTCACGATGAAATATCGGTATCTGGGAATGGAACAAGAAGGCAGGGTGAGCGTTCACCACGATTAGCAGCGACGCTTCATCTCAGGAGTTGTGACGGGTTATCCCACGAGAAGTGACTGGCCGCCGTCGATCCAGACGGGCGTGCCGGTGATGTGGGCGGCGGCGTCGCTGGCGAGGAACGCGGCCAGGTTGGCGACCTGCTCGGGGTCGCCCATGTCGCCGTGCGTCAGCGGGACCTCGCCCTCGGGGTACTCGACGCGCGACTTGATAGCGTCGAGGTGATGCCGCTCGGTCTTCTCATGGATCTGGGTGTTAAACGCGCCGGGGCAGAGGACGTTGACACGAATCTTCGCCGGCGCGAGCTCCAGGGCAAGCATCTGCCCCATCGCCAGTTGCGCCGCTTTGGTTGTCGCGTACGCCGTGGCGCCGGTGTTGCTAAAGACGCGTGTGCCATTGATCGACGACACGATGAGAATCGAGCCCCCACGGGCCTTGAGGTGCGGCACGGCGTGATGGATGGTCGAGTAAGCGCCGGTGAGATTCACCGCGACGGTCTGCGCCCATTCGTCATAGCTGAGCTCATCGATGGGCGCCCACGTCCCATTCGTACCGGCGTTGACGACCACCATATCGAGTTGTCCCCACCGGTCAACGATCTGCCTCACAGCAGCGCCGACCTCGTCATGTTTGGTCACATCGGCGACCACACTGATCGCCTCACCACCAGCTTGGCGTATCTCATCCGCCACGCTGTCGAGTTCGTCCTTGTCACGCGCCGTCAAAGCCACCCGCGCGCCGCACTCGGCAAACCGGAGCGCGATCGCCCGGCCGATGCCTTCACCGCCGCCGGTGATCCAGGCGGACTTGTTTGAGAGCGAGATCTTCATATCGTCCGCTCATGAAAGCATGGAGTGAAGCGAGGGTGGGGTTCTCAAAGTATCGAGGGAGCGCCGTTAGCCCTCGGGCGATTGCACTTTGTGTGCCATGCGATCGCGACTTCGACGACGGCGCCAGTCGCTAGAATCCGCCCGCCAGCCGC